GATCACGACCCGATCGGCTAGGCCATCTTATTTGAAGACATCAACCACAATCACAAACTCAAGCACCATCATAATCTTTGTACAAATATACCACCGTGAATTTAGCACGGAGTCCGATCATGACCCGATCGGCTAGGCCGTCTTATTTGAAGACATCAACCAAAATCACAATTTCAATTACAATTTTCAGCACAATAACCACCCTGTATGCGGTATGGAATCCGATCACTACCCGATCGGCTAGGCCATCTCACCATGATGCCGTGTGGATCAACATCATCCTTTTCTATCAATCATCTCATACCATTTAAGGGGAATAATTTCATCATATCAATTTCATCCCAAATAAGGGGAATAATTGCATCATATCAATAGGGGAATTTACCCCTTAATTACTCCTACACCGGCACGTATAGTTTTGGGATTAGGTTGTTACCTACACTTCCTCGGTGGCTAACGATACTACCAAAAGTATTTTTGATTTGCATACAAAGGAAACAACAATAAAAATGCATTTACCTCATAACCTTTCATACCGTATATAGCCTCATTGGCACTTGCAACAACTTTCAACATCATTATTTCATTGGCTCTTTTGGCCATACATATGATTCTTCATTCATGGCACAATGGCCGTATTTCATATTTCACACTTTTATTTCTTCCCTTTCATGGATTATCATCATAAATATCAACAAATAGAATATTCCGAAAATCACAACTTTAGGTTCATTAGTAATGGAGGCTTTAAACACAATGGGTTTATTTCTAAGAAATGGAGAAAAATAAATGGCAATCGAAGTACAAGTTAAAATCATACACAAGTAACACATTATTTATTCTTGAAATACTTTTCCCCAAAAAGGGCAATACACAATTTCAACGCACGAATATGTAAGAACGCAAAACACATCGAAACTACTTACAAAGCATAGCATTAGTTAAAACAGCCACATATGGGCATCACTTGAATTCATAAGCTTTTAGGCAATTCTATTTTTGAAGTCAATTTTGGAACAGTTAAATAAAAGCTCATTTCATAATCTTTCTCACATCATTTCATTTTATTAATGCCATTGGCCACAAGTATAACTTTCACTCTTGGCACGTTGGCCACACTTTATATTCTCAATTCACGTATTTCACTTCCAACCATCTTTATAGATTATCAACAATAAGACATTTCCAATCAAGACTTTAGGTACACATATGAGTAATTAAGTGTCTTAAGCATATTGAGTTTTTTCACACAATTTGGCATCATAATCTTCATTTGAAACACAACTCAAAGACATAGCATTTTAATACACATATCATTCTTGAACACATTCCCAAAAGATAACATAATGTGATAGGAAAATCCGGAACATATTTTGAATACATAATTCTCGATACTTTGCTTATTTGGGAAAATCAAATTTATTGGGAATAATTCGAAACATAGAATAAGGAATGTGAGACAACCATACTTGGAACTTATGGGAACATCATGGAATTCAATTCTAATAGAGAAAGTTTAGCCAACACACCTTGCTTTGAGCTTTTCTTAAATTACTACAATGTTCCGGAAATTCTAGCAATCCCAGTCTATTTTGATACATAACAAAATTGAACACAAATTAGGAAGATATTCATGGTTTTAGCTCATTTGAGCATTTTATCAAACACTAGGTGTGCAAATTTGGCTATAAGGTTCTTCTACAAGATTTTCTTCATTCCACAACCAAATCTTTACTTATTTGAGCTCAACAATCTTCCCACAAACCTTATTGGTACAAGCATATATACATAATAATTTTACACCCAAGAATCATACTCCTAATCACCCATCATTTATCTCAAACTCGAAATTGAAGACTAGCGGTTTGAATCTTACCTCTTAGATGAAGATCTTGTGATTGCCTTCCTTGATTCTTGAAGATTGGTGCAAGATTGGATGATTAGAATTTTAGGTTTCCTCCTTCTCTCTCTAAAATGCTCTTACCTCTCTCTAAAACTCTTAGAAAAATACCTCAAAATAAGCCCCAAAGGCTATTTATCAAAATGGGGTCGGGTTATGAAAATAGAAAATTTAATCCTCCGAAATCAGGTCTGTGGTCGCATAATGGACCGCAGAATGGGTATACGAGTCGCACAATTGACTGCAAAACTGGTGCATAAAACTGGGCTGCACTGGTCCATTCTGCGACCAGTTTTGCGGTCGCATAATCATTTTTGCGATCGCATAATCACTTCTGCGATCGCAGAATTGGCCGCAAAATCACCTTCTGCCAGCCTTTGGTAATTTGGTCATAACTTCTTGTAGGAGTGTCCAAATGACAAACGGCTTAAAACGTTAGAATCTAGACTCGAAGATATTTAATTTTATTGGTCATCCATTACATAAATCCTTACATATATGTAGATATGCTCGTCCAAAATTTGGTCTTGTGCGTACCCATTCGAAATATTAGTCTATCATGAAATTTCCAACTTGACTTGGACTTAGGGCTCTCCTTAGACTCCACATCACTTAAAATATGCCTCGTACACTTATTATCATATCCAATTGATATCTATTATATTAATAGTCCTTGTCTGCACACAAAATAGTATAATGAGCGCACATCAATTTTCTTACTAGCACTCAAGTACTTCGAAATTTTTCGGGGTGTTACACAACTACAATAATTTACCAGTCGATTTTCCGAATTAGGCTAGCTCTCACTTTTTCACTGCTTACTATGATCACATTAAAGCTTCGTTATCTCTAATCCCGCTTTTAAACCCCCCGTATTGATCTCTCATATACTTTAGGAATGATGTTGTTCAATAACTACCTAAATACATAATCTCTCTCGAATAACATGTAATGAATAGACACAGCCAATTGAGGACCCTTTAATCAACAACAATAAATACATAGTTGAACAAGTAGAGAATTAAACAGGATCAATTATGTTAAATGCATTAGAAATTACTCCTTCAAGAGGTTCAATCACAATCCTAGATAAAGAGTTTGTTTACTCATGCTAGTTTATAAAAATACAAGACTAGAATTCATAACAATAAAAAAATAGGAAGAAAGAAGAAAAGAAACGTAAAGTTGAATCCTTCTTCTTGCTCCCAGCGAGTTCTTACCTCTCCCAAAAAAATTTTCCCTTCAAAAAGTGGCTAACTATCATATTTATATGAAGTAGGGTTGAGTTAGGGCGGATTTGACTTCTTCTATTTTGGATCAAAGAAGCTGGGGGCGCGTCCAGACGCGCGACCTAGTTGTTGATTTCTTCTGCTCTGGTTTCGGTCTGACGAAGTGAATCTCATTTCGATATCCGGGACTTTTTTCTTCAGCTATTTTTCACCAACATTTTTCTTCTATTTGATCATTTTCTACGCAAGTTCGTTCCGACATATATTTTAAAAATATGTGATCTCCCGCAAGTCACATAAGAAATAATATGACAACATACTCAAAAACATGAACTTTTCATTATTTATCAGTATCCACGGTTTTGATTTATGCTTTTTGTGCATAATGTCTTCGTATGTTCTCTCAAAATATGTAGTTTAAGCAGCAACAATGTTGATTATCAATCTCCTTTTTAGTATAAGAATTTTTTTGTTACTCATTAGTGGTAATGTTTTTCTAAGATATGACATGTAATCAGATTGCATATCTTCATTGAGTTATGAAATTAGAATAAGCCTGATATTTTCGAATTAAGTAAGTTATTTTAAGTTGCTTTTTTAATGTGTCTGACTTATTCAATAAGATATGCGGTACGAATTTATAATTTTTGACTCCCAAAAATGATAAATTTTCAAATCCTTCCTTATTTGAGCTACGTGGGAAGTCATAATAGTAAGGACTTTAAAATCAATTAAATCTTATCTTATACAAATTATCTAATTATTTGAACAAAGCAACATAACTATAACACTTTTCATGTTAAAAATAAATTTTGCATTGAAAAATATATTTTTTTAGTATTTCCTAATATTTTGGATCTTCAAATCAACTATATTTGTGCGTTAAAAACTTTATTATTTGAACTATATAGAAAGTCCTGACATTAAGTAGATTGTATAAATTATTTCTTATTTGCATTATGTAACATAAATATTTTGTAAAAGACAAGTAATTCCAAATATAAAATCCACAAAGAATAAGTAAGAACGCGGCTATTACTTGTTGTAGGTGTGATATTCCTTGTCATATAATTTTAATCAATTATTCTATATAATTTAACTATTTTAGTAAAAGTAAAAAATTAAAAAGAGAAAGATTAAGTAGAAAACTATAATTAAAATCGATAATGTTGGTCGACACTCCTTTAATTTTCCTTATACTTAACTAAAGATTTTTAACCGATCATAAGCTAAGACCAATTAGTTATATATATTCATTACTTAGTAAAAAAGAAAAAGAAAAAATAGAGAAAGACTTCTTATGAATAATTAAGTTTGATTCTCTGGTCATACATTAGCATGTCCATTAAACTCCAATTAAATTCCACGTTTGAAAATTTTATGTACGAAATATGAATACACATTGTAATAAATATTAAAATTAGGTATAATTAATCTAATACCCACAATTAGTATACTTTTTAACTCAATATCAAATTCTAGAAATACTTTAGAAATGACATTTAACAACCGCACATTAGATATAGATTGAGTTCTACTCCTTCCCTTATATCGTGAAACACATTTCCCTCTGAGTCTTTATCACACCGAAACTAGAGGTGAGGCATCTCACTTTGTTAATGGCGTTGTGAGCAAGAAAGGCCATGAAAAGAGAAGAAAAGTGTGAGGAATTAATGGAATAGTAGTCAGAAGACTAGCTAGTATCACAACCTTTCATCCTTAAAGTTAAAAATCATGACAAAAGAAAAAAGAATATGTACATTACCTCCTTTCAACTCCACCTTCTCACACTATATGTAAAGTTATATATATATATACACTTATTTCCTTGATAATTATATATATATAATACTTAGAAGTACTAGGTATTTTACACATAAACATAAATAATGATAAAAATGTCACCACCAGCTCGCTCTTTGATATTTGGGGTCGTCTTTTTCTTGTTTTTATCAATATTTTCATTCAGTACAACTAATGCTCATAGTTGCACAGAGGGATTCTTGTCAGAGGCGAAGCGGAGAAATCTAGTAGCAACATTTTGCAAGCGATATCAAGAAAGCAACGGAGTTGAAATAGCCATGAAGCTGAAGGAAAAACCTCGAAGGCTCGACATAATGGTGGGAGCTATGTTAGAAGAAGGAACAGGGTGGCTAGCCTGGGGTTTGAACCCTGGCCCAGAAGCTAGAATGGTTGGCACACAAGCTCTCATTGGTATCAAGAACAAGAGCAATTTACTTTGGGATACTTACAACATCACCACCTATACAAAGTTTGGTTGTCAACTCTTGCCTTCTCCAATTGACTTGAACATTAGCAATTTTAATTTCAGTTACATTGATTACCTTCAGTATCATGTCATAAAAGCAACTATTGTTCTTGATCCATTAAAATATGATGTGTCGAGATTAAATCATGTGTGGCAAGTTGGAGTTGATGTGGATGCAGTAGGGAAGGAACCAAAGATGCATGCTAAAGCACTCAGGAATTATGATAGTACTGAAACAATTAACTTGATGACTGGTAAAGGTCGAGGCAATAGAGTCCATACATCTAACCTGATAAGACAAGTAAGCCTAAGCTTCTCTTACTCTTGAGTTTTCTTTAATTTCCCCTTAATTTATCTCTTTGTCATGCCCAATTATAGAAAGCACCCATTTTATATAACTTTAGAGAGAAATTCTACTAATTATATTAAAAGGACTTTCTGGTTAGAAAACGAGCTTATTATATTGGTCAACGCATGTATTTGCATAAATGCAAGAAGAAGAAAAAAGGCGATAAAGTAAAAGGTTACGCTCTTATCCCTTTTCTTTGTAAAAATAGCACGGGCTAGCTATTTTTCGGACTGGTAATCGAAAAATAGTCAGCGTTTGCAAAGTTATTGAAAAATAGTTATTGTTCTGCTGAAACACAGAAATTAAAGTTCCAGCATAATATACTGGATTATAAAGCTCTAGCGTATAAACTTTCAGCATATTATGTTGGAACTCCAGCACACGGAAAGTTCCAGTATAATATGCGGGATTATGGAACTCCTGCATATAAATTTCCGGCATATTATGATGGAACTCCAGCATATTATAAATTTTCAACATATTATGATGGAAGCTCATATGTCAAAAATTTCGAACTCCAGTATATTATGATGGAATATTTTCGGATTTTTAATAGTATTTTTGTTCAGATTTTATCTTTACATGAAATATGGCTAAATTTTAACTACTTTTAAAATTGTGGCTATTTTTTATTTACCAGTTATAAATATAGTTATTTCTGATTTTTTTTCACCTTTTTTTTTCTTTTTTGTAAATTTCTTTTCTTTTTAGCATATTTAAAAGAGAACAATACATTCCTATATTTAGAAATAGGATAATACTCCCTCCGTCTCAAATTATCCGTCGTGATTTTTAAAAATAGTTGTCTCAAATTATTTGTCATTTTAGAAGTTCAAGACAAAATAAATTATATTTTTTCCAATTTACTCTTAATAATAATTATTCTTGAAGATGGAGACGGTACATAAATAGAATAATTATTCAATAAAGAGAGATTAATTTTAAGACATAAATAAGGGTAAAATAGTCCAAAGCCCCTCCTAATTAATATTTCTTAAAGGACATGTAAAGGAGAAACACGACAGATAATTTAAGACGGAGGGAGTAACACTTTTGGTCTCTTTATTGGTTACTTTAACGGAAAAAGTTCAAAACTATCCCGTCCGTTTGATAAATGATTTAAATTTACCCTCCGTCCAACTTATGGTCCAAAAATAATCCCATCGTTATTTCTATTTCTAAACTTACCCCTCGATTTAACGGCAAAATCTAGTGGGCCGCACATTAATGCGTTGGCAATATTTTATTGGGCCATGTGGCCATTTTTGGTCAGACACACATACGGGTAATGTTACCCGCCCCAATTACTTTGGATATATGCGTTTTATACCCTCCCTCTTCCGTCTTTCTCTTGCCAAAAGTTTATTTTGATCCTGTTTATAATTTCCACCATTGAAACAAAGTTTATATTCTATTTGGCGAAATTGGAGAAATCAGTTTATTTTGATAAGTATTTTTTTTAAAAGTGCTTTTGAAAAATATTTTTGGAGAAATACAGTTTGTGTTTGGCTAATCACTCTAAAAAGCACTTTTGAGCAATAATTTGTGTTTGGCCAAGCTTTTCAAAAAGTGCTTTTAATTTTCAAATTACGAATAAGGACATGAATAGATTTACTTAATAATTAATATTATAATTAAATAAATAATCTCAAAATTTTGTTATTACAAGCACTAATTAAACCTTTTCATTTTATTTAAGTAAAATATGAAAATAAAATTTAAAAGTACGTAATTCTTTTAATATAAGTTAAATATATTAAAAATCATTCAAGAAATATAAAAGCATTCACTCCTAAAGTCACTATATATTGGAAAGCTATTTTAAAAATAATAAGAAATATTTATATATTAATATCCTAAGTATTAGGTTTAACGGTTATTTTGGTATATACTATATTTTGTTAAGGGTATTTTTAGTAAGATGAAAATTCAAAGCTGTTTTTACTTCTGCTTTTGAGAAGAAGCTACTTTTTTCTGCTTCTCAGAAATTGCTTCTGCTTATTCCTAAAAATATTTTTTCCCCAAAAATACTTGGCCAAACACCTAAGTTAGGAAAAAAAAATATTTTTGAGGAAAAAAAAAATACTGGCCTGCTGACACTACTAAAAATTCGGCAAAAACCGACCAAGGTCGACCGACCAACTTTGGTCGGTCAAAAAACCGATCAAAGTTGGTCGGTTTTTCAAAAAAAAAATTAAAATATTTTTTTTTTACGAAATCGACCAACTTTGGTCGGTTTTCTTTGGCGCAAAAATGCGGGAAACTATTTTTGAGTCCCGCAAAATTTATGTTTAAAGAAACCGACCAACTTTGGTCGGTTTTTCAATTAAAATAAATAAAAATTAATATTAAAAAAACCGACCAAAATTGGTCGGTTAATTCGGCGGGTCATTTAAAAAAACCGACCAACTTTGGTCGGTAATTTTACTTTTTAATAAAACCGACCAACTTTGGTCGGTTATTTTCGTGCGAAAATACAATTAAAGAGTATAAATCAAATAAAAGACAATCTTAAAATAAAATGTACCAATGGTCTAGTGGTAGAATAGTATCCTGCCACAGTACAGACCCCGGTTCGATTCCCAGATGGTTAATCTTTTTATTACATAATTAAAATACCGACCAACTTTGGTCTGAAAAAACCGACCAACTTTGATCGGATTGTTTTGCAATATATTTTTTTTTGAATTTAATTGACCGACCAAAGTTGGTCGGTAATTTCCGACCAACTTTGGTCGGTATTCCTTTCCGACCACAAAAATACCGTCCACACATAAATGGTCGCGTTTTGGCCGGTTTTTGGCCATTACCGACCAACGTTGATCGATTTTTTTGATCGATTTTTATCGAATTTCTAATAGTGTGAGAAGCTCGGCCAAACAGGCTATGAGGGGCGCTCGATCTTCTTTTTCCTCCCTTCTTTTTCTTTTTTTTTCCCTTCTATCCACCAAAAGAATTCACAACATTTAATTAGACTCAGTTTATGTACTCAATATTCAATTTATCTTGCTTCTCTGTTCTTTCGAATTCGACCAAATATAGTTTCTTGTCAAGACGCATTTTAGATTCTAAAGATGGGTGTCAACATGATTCATGACATTGACCAATACCCATTCAATTTTATGTCAACGTTTCACCCAATTCCATGTTAAAAACGTCGCTGAAAGTAGATCTCGAAGTTCCGTTCATAATATTCAGAAAATAAAACACAATTGTAGCTTACAAGAAAAAATGAAGAACATTTGTTGAGCTTGAATGCAGTAAAACCTGAAGGATCCTTTTTTCTCTTTTTATCTGATTAAAAATTGAAAGCCGATTAAGGGAAATTTTGAGCACATTGTAGCAACATTGCCAAAAGAGAATGTTTTTTCTTACTTAAAAGCACATTCATTTCCATAAACAGATCAACTCCTTGTAGTTAGATTTTCCTATAAATGAATAGATGTTTGACATATAGGCGAGAGACCAGAAAGAGAAAGGAGAGAGAGAGAGAGAGAAAGAGAGAGAGAGAGAAGCGGGTCCAAGAAGAAGATAGCATGATTAGCATCCCCCTATTTTAATCGGGTTATAAAATAAATAGGGCAGACAAGAAAAAAGGGACGGGACCCATATATATGGACTGAAACCAGGAGCCACGTGGCCCAATAAAATATTTTTAACGAATTAAATGTGAGGTCCACAAATTCTACTGTCAAATCGAGCGGTAACTTTTACAATAGAGATAACTATGATGGCAATTTTGGACCAAAAATGAACCGAGGATAATTTTAAACCATTTACCAGATAGGGTTAATTTAATCATTTTATGTAATTATAATTTTGATCCCTTTATACTTGAAATATATTACATTTAGATTAGTTCTTACTGTAGCACATGTGGGTTAAATGATGTCATGGTATATTTGTTAATTTAAAAAGATTCATAAGTCAGGGGATCGAAAGCGCACATTTTCAATTACTTGAAGGTTAAATTTGCTTGACAATATTAGAAGGACTAAAACTAAAATTGGGCAACATTTGAGGTACTAAAAATGCAAATTTTTCTTTTGGGATTAATCTAAGTTTAAACTTTTCTTTTGATTCTTAATATCGGAATTTTATAGCTACGAAAATATCAAGACTTGTTTACTACCCTAAGTTACAAAATTTTTCTTAAACTCTATATCCAATCAAAAAAAAAAAATTATATGTCCAGTCAAACAAGTTCAAATGTATAAAATGAAATGGAGGGAGAAAATTGTAGAACTTTCAAGTTTAAAAAGTTTATACTACATAAATTAACTTCGTGCTGTCAAACCCTATAAATAAAATTATAAATAGCCTAATAGATTTTACTGTAGAGCACCTATAAAGCTACCTGCACGGACCAATATAAAGCTAATAGATTACCATAAGATTTTTTAACATACTCTAACCGATAGCTACATTAACGAATCTTGATGCATAATAGTTTAATCTGCCGTGTATATGTCACGTGGATCTATGTGAACTCAATAACTTTTATTCGAACCTTGTATATAACTTAAGAAATTCACTTAATATTAATAAATATTTAAATGCAAATTCAATTACTATTGTATAATAACTTGAGTTTGGTGCAGGAACTCACCAACTTTAAATTTTAAATCCGAATCTATTGATCATTTGATAATAAATTTGCAGGTTCATGGAGTATTAAATATCATTGGGTGGGGTACATTGCTGCCCATTGGCGTACTTATAGCAAGGAATTTCAGAGAGTACCCTTTACCTTGTTCGGGATGGAAAAGTTACCATATTTCATGCCAGTCAGTTGGATACATTGTGGGATCAGCGGGTTGGGCTGTCGGAATATGGCTTGGCAAAGCATCCAAATACTACTCCTTTCCCAAACATGGAATTTTTGGCATCTGCATTTTCACTTTTGCCACTTTACAAGTAAGACTCTCTATCTCTCTCAATCTCGATATATATTAAGGATAAACTCAGAATTTGCCAATATTTCACAAATTAATAAGCACAAATTGCCCTTTTTATTTAGATATTATTCCCTTTGTCCCAATTTATGCGACGTTGTTTAACTGGGCATAAAAATTAAGAAAGAAAGAAAAAAATATTTTTGAAACTTGTGATCTAAAACAAGTAATAATAAATCTTTGTATAGTTTAAAATCATCTCATTTAAGGTAAAATAAGAAATTTAAAATCAAATTATTTTTAAATATAAAAACAATATGAACAACTTAACACATAAGTTGGAATTTAACAAGGAAACATTATCATCTTTTATTCTAGTCTCCTATACTTGTTCGTCAAAAGTAGATGATACGCAAGTGGGTGGGTAATTTATCACGATATTATTTTATCACGAGTTTAGTTGCATTTTCTCTTCTCCAATTAGCAATCTCAGAATTAGTTAATCCCCGCATATCCCATCTTTAATCGATGAATTAAATGTTTACCAATAAAAGTTTATCTATTTAATAAATTTATCATTATTTGATCTCCGTATTATAATCTCGATTTAACTTGTTCACCAACCAAGTGATCCTTAAGAGTACACACATATATATGAAGAATTAAAATTATATATACTGACAGTGTAAAGAAATTCTAACGGTTAGTATAGTTTAATTGATTATAGCAAGTTATATATTTACTAGGTTTATACAAACATCCAACCCTTTCCTTGTAATTCTGTTTGGACTTTGGAGTAATGAACGAGTTGGGTCTGCCTAAGCCCACATCAATCTGATGGAGAAAATTATTTTATAGGTTATCAAATTAGAATTAATACAGACAGTCATATATATTGTATTATTATTGTTGGTCACTTTAATCTGATGGTATAAAATCTATACATTGTTATTGTAAATAGACCCGCTATTTTAATTTTTACTGTTTAAAATTAACACAAAATTATTACTTTATTGAGAACTTAAACCAATAAAAAGAATTGCAATTTAGAATAAATTGTCTGTTGATATTCTTAACGAGTTGATTTTTTGATGTCTCTTTAACTTAAAATTTTCGACTATCTCGCTTGATGAACAAAAGGTCTCTGATCATTTGGTTTACCACATACAGATGCTGTTTCTCAAACTTAAACCGGACGATGAAAGTAAGTGTCGCGATTATCGGAACATGTTCCATCATGTTCTTGGATATTCATTACTTGTCGTGAGTTGTATCAACATAGTGAAAGGGCTAAGAATAATGTATTTGGACGAAAATTACTGGGTACCAGCTTATTTCGGAGTTGCTGGCTGCCTCGCTTTCATCTTTCTAGTCTTTGAAATTGTCTCCTGGTTCAATTTCTTATGCGACAAGTTTCAGCTTAGGGTCCTATGTGACAAAGACACAGCAAACGACGAAGCAAATTCTAAAAAGGTTTCAAGAGATGATGGCAAAGTGCAGCCTAGCGATACACCAAAAAACAACTAATTAAGAGACACCAATAAAGTAGGAAAATCCGGAACGCAGTCAGTTGCTGCCATTTTTCCTTTTGTTTTGGCTCGATTCTATTCTGCTTTGTCCAATGTGTGAGTTAGTGTTTGGAGCTTTTCGTTTCTTAATTTTTATAAACATATTTGTGTGTACTAATAAATTGGCAAGGGATTTTATTCAGCATATATATGATGTAAGTATTAAAAAGCTTATCCGATCCAAAACTGGACAGTCCGCAAGTGGCTTAGCGAGCATCTGTCCACTAACCGAACTTTCAATCCACATCAGCCAACATTCCCAAACATAATGTAACAAACAACTCTACGATAGATAGCGTAACAGTACGTAGGAAATTACTGAGAGTAATACCGTACGTCAAATCTCACACCCTCAATCGTTATGGAGCATCTAAGAATCTTAATACAATCGAATTGGGTCATATAGTCCCAGTAAAAGATAAATTAACATAAAAATAGCCTCCACCGGGACAAAGCGAATGTCTCACCGCTGCAACGGTCGAGAGAGTGATGCGCTAACTAGGAGTCAGCTGTGGTATCAAATATAGTATATGTACAAATTAATTAAGCATTATCGGCCTGCGTCTAACAGCCTAGGACAATCTTTTATAAGAAATTCGTGAATGCATGTAATTATGCGAAGGCATGATCAATACTTTATACCCTATTTGAGTATATGCACCGTCTAATCCACTAAGCATATTCCAACACACAGTTTATGACATAAGATGAGAAAATGTAGACACATACAATGTATTTTTTTTATTTTTTTTAAAATAAAACCACGACGAGGTAGTTCAAATTTATTCAAACAAAAGCATGGATAGAAAGTCGTAGGGGAACTATGCCGCGACCCTACAGAATAAACTTGGGAGAAAGAGGCATATCCTTGTCACGATCCAAAATCCAAATCAAAGGGTCGTGATGACGCCTAACACCACATACTCGGCAAACCAACGAATAACAAAAATAAATACAATACAAAACGTAAAATAACATAATATCATAAATAAAGATAATACTCAGAAAATAATATATCATGTTTAAAACCAACGACCATCTAACACCTCTCAGAAACTGGAGTCACTGAGTACATGAGCGTCTACACAATAACTAAATACCAAGCCTGAAATAAAGAATACACTCTTCGAAGCGAAAACACAGTAACGGGACTATGAGATAGGTGACTCCAAGGCCTACGAACGAGAGTGCAGTACTAACTCGAGTCTCCTCGAGCAGCAAGCTAGTCTGTCCTCGTGGTACCAGTAGGACCAACACCAAAATCTGTTCAAGAAATACATAAGTGTAGTATGAGTACAACCAACCCAATGTACCCCATTAGTCTCGAGCCTAACCCTGACAGGTAGTGACGAGGCTAAGACAAGATACCTATATATAAACATGTGCAGTTAAGTAATGAGAAAGTAACGAGAGACATAATAATAGGATGGCAAGTAAAATAGCAAGTAAGATGACCAGATAAATAATAAGAGAGAGATAACAGGTATAAAACCAAGAAGATATAGAACGAGAAAATACGACTAAGGTATGCCTTCACAAGCAACTCCAAACAAGCCTTTCAAAAATAACCATGAAATAACATAACCAAGTCTTGTTCATAAGCCAAACCCTCAGCTAACCTCTCCAAAGCAATTTCACAGAAGAAATATCCTAAGATCTCAACTTTCAAACATACCGATCTAGAATAGTTACTGACTCTTGTTCATAAGCCAAATCCTCATCTAGATGCACTGTACTGAAATCCAAAACATGTGACTTGTTTTCATGATACTTCCGAAGTATAGAAACATGAAATACTGGATGTACCCTTGCTAGACTGGAATGTAATATAAGCCTATAAACAACCTCTCCAACTCTCTCTAAGATCTCAAATTGGCAAATAAACCTCAGGTCTAACTTGCCCTTCTCCCAAATCTCATCACGCCCTTCATAGGAGAAACTTTAAGAAGTACCTTCTCGACCTCTATATAAGCCACATCACAGACCTTCTTGTCTGGATAACTCTTCTGCCTGCTCTGTGCTGTACGAAGGAGATTCTGAAGCAACTTCACCTTCTCCAAAGTATCACGAACCAAATCCGTACCAAACATCCTAGCCTTACTAGGCTCAAACCAACCAATAGGAGAACGCCACCACCTATAATATAAGGCCTCATACGACTCCATCTAAATGTTGGACTGGTAGTTATTGTTGTAGGCAAACTCCACCGATGGTAGAAACTAGTCCGACCAGCCTCCAAAATCAATGACGTAGGCCATCAACTTATCCTCAAGGATATGGATAGTACGCTCGTACTTGCCATCCATCTGTAAGGCCCTGTAAAATTTTGCAAAGAGAAATATAATATTTCGTGGTGCCGGATTGGGCTTACGTGTTTGAGGATTGTATAAATTCTTAGCTCGGACTTTTTGGATTGAACAATGCACTGAGGGATAAAGAAAAAATTTTTGGCAGAGAAATGCATTTCTGCGGTCCATTATGTGACCGCAGAATCACTCTGCGGACCGCATAATGGCGGCAGAGTGAGAAAGGAGAGGGGTAGTTTTGGATGCCATTCTACGGTCGACTATGCGGCCGCAGAACTGTTCTGCGATTCACTATGCGACCGCAAAACAGGTCTGCGGGCCGCATAGTGACCGCAGACCGAGGCAGAGTTTTTGCTAGTTTTAGACACCAATTATGCGGCCGATATGCGGTCCGCATACCGATTATGAGATCGCATATGCGATCGCAAACCTTGTTCCGGAGCTTCATTTTTTGGTTTTTAAAACCCGACCCTACTTCGTTAAATACACGCTTTGGGCCATTTTTGAGCTAAAATCTGATATTTTAGAGTGAGAAAGAGTGCCATAGAGTGAGAAGGTATTCTCAATAATTGTTCTTCAATTCTTGCTCAAAGTTTGGAAGATTACGAAGGGAAACTCACTAGGTCTTCATCCTAGAGGTAAGATTTTACACCCTAACTCTCAATTTTGAATTTTTTCTTGAAATGGGTAATTAGCAGCTAATTTTTGGGCATGAGGGTTTTTTATTTTATATGCATGTGTTATCAAAGTGTGTAGGAAGATTGTTGAGCTAAAAATGGTAAAGATTGTGTTGTGGGATGATGGAATCCTACATAAAAGGACCTTGAAACCTTAATGCACACCTAGTGTTTGATAAAATGCTCGAATGAGCTAAAACCATGAGCATCTTCCTAATTTTGGTCCATTTGTTATATTTCTAAAATAGATTGAAGTTACTAAGAATTTCGAAATATTTTAGAGTTTAAGGAAGCTCCATTGAGGTATGTTGGTTAAACTCTTCTTTAAGAATTGGAACCCCAATATCCTTGTAAGTTCCAAGATATCTATTACAAGTTGAGTATTATGGATAAGTTTTTTGACAAAGATATATGTTCAATTCGTGTTTCAAGTGCTTTTATCATACTGTATTATAAATTTAGGATGTGTTTCAAACTATGGATTGTGTATCTACGTGTTATGATTCCAAGTCGTGATTTAAGTGAAAAACTATTATTCCAAATTGTGTAGAGATTGTGATTGGGGTTACACCTCCACCCGTATATATTGGGGTGAGGCGGAAGAGCCGCTTTGTGTATGATTTTGATATTGTTATTGAACCATCACCCGCATATACATATTGGGGTGAGGCGGCATGACCGCTTTGTGTAGGTATTGGTATCGTTGATGCATTTTCCACCCGCATGTACTGGGGTGAGGCGACATAGCCGCTTTGTGTAGGTTTTTGATACTGTGGTTATATCTCCACCCGCATACATTGGGGTGAGGCGGTAGGGCCGCTTTAGTAGAGTTTTAGTATTGTGTTTAAATCTCCACCCGCATACATTGGGGTGAGGCGGCTTTATGTGGGAACGGTTACAGAGGATCTCATATTAAATTCTATAAATGTTAATGACAGCTCTTGATAAGCTTGCTTTGGTTTAAACGGTTAACTATGCTATTCTATTATCGCCCTGGTTCATCATATTTACATTGTATTTCCAAATTCTTTAATTGGTGTTTGGTTTTCATACTAGTACTATTCGACATGTACTAACGTCCCTTTTACCGGGGGCGCTGCATCTTTAATGGATGCAGGTGGTTCCATAACAGAGGATATTGACCAGTGATAGTGGTGCTCATTCTTCCCAACTAACTTGGTGAGCCCCATCTCATTCCGGGGTTGTGTATCTTTTGTTTCGTATGTGTTATTGTATTTTGAGGTATAGTCGGAGCCTTGTTGCCAGCACTATCATTGTACTCTTTGGTATTTTAGAGGCTCCGTAGACATAGTGTGGGTTGTGTATTGGTGCTGGGAAAGACAAACTATGTTATGTTGTGGGTGTATTACTTGTTCTATTTAAGACGTTAAAAATGATGGAACTATTGATAATGAATTGGTATTGTGGACATGAACACCTTTTTGTATAATTAATGAAAATATGTATTATCTCCATTCATGGGTGAGTTGGGTAGAAGGAAATCTAACATGCTTGCTCGATCGGGTTCACTCGGTTGAGCGCCGGTCGCGCTCCCCGACTTTGGGGCTTGACACCATCTGCGGATGAAATGCAATGATGAGCTCCACCTGAGTGCCCAACTTACACGGAACAGCTCTCTAAAAGTGTGAAGTGAACTACGTGCCACGGTCCGAGATGATAGAAATAGCACACCGTGCAGCTAAAAAATTCTCTAATATAGATCTGAGCCAACATCTCTGAAGTGTAGGAAATCATCACCAGAATGAAGCACGCGAACTTGGTCAATCAGTCCACAATGACTCAAATAGCATCATACTTCCTCGGCGTTTGTGGTAATCTTACCAAGTCTATAGTAATGCACTCTCACTTTCACTCCGGTATCACCAACCTCTAAATCAAACTACCTGGTTTCTGATGTTTATACTTCACCTGCTGGCAATTCAAGCACCGTAAGACATGCCTAACAATGTCTTTCTTCATTTTCTGCCACCAATAATGCTATTTAAGTCATGATACATCTTCGTGACACCTGGATAAATAGAATACCGCGAGTTATGAGCCTCCTCAAGAATCAACTCTCTCAAACCAACAACATTCGAAACACAAATCTAATCTTGAAGCCGCATAACACCATCATCTCCAATCACAACCTTCTTA